GCGCGCGATTGATTCTCTTCGCATGAATGCGTGCATGGATACGCCAGTGTAAATGTATGTATACGACTGTGAACAGTTTGGGTCTGCGTGACTCTCGGTACTCGTGACTCTGAGCGTCGCCTATGCAGGGGGCTTCCCTGGGAACCCCGACGGCAGCGCCCGCGCGCCGCGACGCCCATGTCGGCACGCCACACACCTGGTGTGCGGGACGCATGCGGACGGCAGCCATGGGGCCTTCGGTGGAGCTCCCTATGGGGCCACGAAACGTGTGAGGGGTGTGCCGAAATGGGTGTGCGGGAAGCATGCGGACGGCAGCACTGGGGCCTTCGGTGGAGCTCCCTGTGGGGCCACGAAACGTGTGAGGGGTGTGCCGAAATGGGTGTGCGGGACGCATGCGGACGGCAGCCATGGGGCCTTCGGTGGAGCTCCCTATGCGGCCACGAAGCGTGTGAGGGGTGTGCCGAAATGGGTGTGCGGGACGCATGCAGACGGCAGCACTGGGGCCTTCGGTGGAGCTCCCTGTGGGGCCACGAAACGTGTGAGGGGGGTGCCGAAATGGGTGTGCGGGACGCATGCGGACGGCAGCCATGGGGCCTTCGGTGGAGCTCCCTGTGGGGCCACGAAACGTGTGAGGGGTGTGCCGAAATTGGTGTGCGGGACGCATGCGGACGGCAGCACTGGGGCCTTCGGTGGAGCTCCCTATGGGGCCACGAAACGTGTGAGGGGTGTGCCGAAATGGGTCTAGTGTGTGGGGACGCATGCGGACCGGCAGCCATGGGGCCTTCGGTAGGAGCTCCCTCATGGGGCCACGAAGCGTGTGAAGGGAGGTGCCCCTTTGTGCCGAAATTGGTGTTGCCGGGGAACGCATGCGGACGGAGCAACTGGGGCCTCGGTGGAAGCTTCCCATGTGGGGCCACGAAACGTGTGATGGGTGTGCCGAAATGGGTGTGCGGGACGCATGCGGACGGCAGCACTGGGGCCTTCGGTGGAGCTCCCTGTGGGGCCACGAAACGTGTGAGGGGTGTGCCGAATTGGGTGTGCGGGACGCTTGCGGACGGCAGCACTGGGGCCTTCGGTGGAGCTCCCTGTGGGGCCACGAAACGTGTGAGGGGTGTGCCGAAATGGGTGTGCGGGACGCATGCGGACGGCAGCCATGGGGCCTTCGGTGGAGCTCCCTATGGGGCCACGAAACGTGTGAGGGGTGTGCAAGGAGGGGGAGGAGGGAGGAGGGCGAGGAGGGGGAGGAGGAGGAGAGGAGGTGGGACGCGGGGCGCTGTCTCTTCAAAACGGGAACCCAACACCACAGGATGGTTGGGAAATTAGCCTGGCGAAGAACCCAACCATATGCAGTTGTCAGTACCGCAGCTGCGGGTTTCATCTTCAATGGAACTCCCCATAGGACTACGGAACGTGTGAGGGCGGTGTGTGTTGCCGAGTCGAGATAAAGAGCGCCAGAGAAGACTAGACCGCAGAACGTAGCGAGACGAGATGGGTTTTTTTTTGCCTTTCAGCGAGAAGATGGTGACACTGGGGCATTGCGTGCCGACGCTCCCTATAATGGGGACATGGAAACACGCGGCGGGCGTGGCCGGACATGGGTGGCGGTAAATAAACACGCTATGTGCAGGCCGCCACTGGGGCCTCCAGTGGAGCTACTCTTCATGGGTTCCCCGAAACATGATGCTGCTGCGGGGGGGGGGCGGGATGGGTGGCGGAGACGCATAGTAAGCGCCGCGACTGGGGCCTTCGGTGGTAGCTCCCTATGGTGCCACGAAAGCGCCGGACAGACAGAGGGTGTACTGGGAATAGAAGTGTGGCGGGGGCGCATGTGAGCGCCGCCACTGGGGCCTTCGGTGCACCCCTCTATGGGGCCACGAAACGTGTGAGGGGTGTGCCGAATTGGGTGCGGGTGGTGACGCATGCGGGCGCGGGCATTGGGGCCTTCGGTGGAGCTCCCCATGGGGCCACGAAACCTGTTGTTGTGAGGGGCGTGCCGGGATGGGTGGCGGGGGCGCATGTGAGCGCGGCCGCTGGGGCCTTCGGTGGAGCTCCCTATGGGGCCACGAAACGTGTGAGGGGTGTGCCGAATTGGGTGGGTGTGGGTGACGCATGTGAGCGCCGCCACTGGGGCCTTCGGTGGATGATGGGGCCACGAAACCTGTCAGGGATGTGCCGATATGGGTGTGCGGGACGCATGCGCATGTGAGCGCCGCCACTGGGGCCTTCGGTGGAGCTCCCTATGGGGCCACGAAACGTTGAGGGGTGTGCCGAAATGGGTGGTGGGGAGGCATGCGAACCCTGCCACTGGGGCCTTCGGTGGAGCTCCCTATGGGGCCACGAAAAGTGTGAGGGGTGTGCCGAAATGGGTGGTGGGGACCGCATTGCGGGCTGCAGCACTGGTTGCCCCCCCCCCCTCTTTCGGTGGGGCTCCCTATGGGGCCACGAAACGTGTGAGGGGTGTGCCGAATTGGGTGTGCGGGACGCATGCGGGCGGCAGCACTGGGGCCTTCGGTGGGGCTCTCTATGGGGCCACGAAACGTGTGAGGGGTGTGCCGAAGTGGGTGTGCGGGACGCATGCGGGCGGCAGCACTGGGGCCTTCGGTGGGGCTCCCTATGGGGCCACGAAACGTGTGAGGGGTGTGCCGAATTGGGTGTGCGTGACGCATGCGGGCGGCAGCACTGGGTCCTTCGGTGGGGCTCCCTATGGGGCCACGAAACGTGTGAGGGGTGTGCCGAATTGCGTGTGCGGGACGCATGCGGGCGGCAGCACTGGGGCCTTCGGTGGGGCTCCCTATGGGGCCACGAAACGTGTGAGGGGTGTGCCGACTTGGGTGTGCGGGACGCATGCGGGCGGCAACACTGGGGCCTTCGGTGGGGCTCCCTATGGGGCCACGAAACGTGTGAGGGGTGTGCCGAATTGGGTGTGCGGGACGCATGCGGGCGGCAGCACTGGGGCCTTCGGTGGGGCTCCCTATGGGGCCACGAAACGTGTGAGGGGTGTGCCGAATTGGGTGTGCGGGACGCATGCGGGCGGCAGCACTGGGGCCTTCGGTGGGGTTCCCTTTGGGGCCACGAAACGTGTGAGGGGTGTGCCGAATTGGGTGTGCGGGGCGCATGCGGGCGGCAGCACTGGGGCCTTCGGTGGGGGCTCCCTATGGGGCCACGAAACGTGTGATGGTGGGGCCCGAAAACATTGGCCTCGTTTTTTTTTGGTGCGGACGCATGCGGGCTATGCAGCAGACCTTTGGTGGGATCCCTATGGGGCCACGGAAATCGTGTGGAGGGGTGGCCGAATTGGGTGTTTGTTTGACGGGACGCATGCGGGCGCAGCACTGGGGGCCTTCGGTTGTGGGCTCCCTGTGGGGCCACGAAACGTGTGAGGGGTGTGCCGAAATGGGTGTGCGGGACGCATGCGGACGGCAGAACTGGGGCCTTCGGTGGAGCTCCCTGTGGGGCCACGAAACGTGTGAGGGGTGTGCCGAAATGGGTGTGCGGGACGCATGCGGACGGCAGCACTGGGGCCTTCGGCGGAGCTCCCTATGGGGCTACGAAACGCTGTACTGGGCGGGTGAAACGCAAGGAAGAGGGGGAGGAGGGAGGAGGAGGGGGAGGAGGAGGAGAGGAGGAGACGCGGGGCACCGTCTCTTCAAAACGAGGACCCAACACCACAGGATGGTTGGGAAAAATAAGCTTTTCCAGCCCGCGGCCGGTTTTTTCTAATCGTCATTCCGGGCGCCGCCGCGTGAACACGACCCCCGGTCATTTATGAATCGTCATCCTCCATTACCCCCGGGGGATGGGGGTCGGGTCGGGGGCCCGGAGGCCGCGGATCGAGAGGAGGTCAGATTCCCGGCGCCGCCACTTTTGTCACACCCGGCGATTCAAGGGGCCCAAGGACACACAAATAAATACACACATATAAAAAGATTCCCAAAAGTTTCCCATATTTTCTGGGTTTCTGTCTTCCCCCCCGCTGCCCGTAGTTTCCCATATTTTCTGGGAAATCGACGATTCATTGTGTCTGTGTGTTTTCTCCCCTCCTGATAGATCCCGGCGCCGCCACTTTTCCACACCCGGCGATCTCGCCCAGCCTCGGGCGCCGGGGGCCCTCGCGCATCGGCCTGGCTGCCAGCTCTGGCAGCGACGTGCGCTGTATCGCAGGGTCCCCCCGGGGAGGCGCCGCAGGGAGTCGCGCGGGGGGGTAGCCATCTTTGCAGGCAGGGGGGGGGGTCCTCAGAATGACCCGGCCCTCTGAGAGGCCCTCTCGGCTTGCAAGAAACCTTCTTACGGAAGGTTCGTGTCGTGCCGACTTCGGCGTTGGTTCCTGACACCGCGGCGATCGTTCAACCTTGAACGATCGGCAATTCCCAAAACGTCGGGTCGTTCAACATCGGCCGATTCTGTGTCGCCGGCGGCGTTCAGCATTGAACGCGGGCGGCGGGGTCGCCACCGGTTGACACGACGCGAACCTACCGCAGAGGCTTCTAGGAGCCCAGTTCTTCTCGGGAGCCCCCGCAATCTTAGAAAGCGCTCACCCCCCCTGCCACCCCCTCGAACGCGCCGGCAAGTCTCTAGCCACAGTGTCCACCCAACCCGAACCTCCCCAATCCATATCGTTTTGGTCGCGCATTCGCCATGGGCTAAGATCTCGCAGCTGTGCCAGACAGCTGTGTTGGCTTTTGCGCTGCGGGGCTCCCCGCCGCACGTGCCAACCTCGCGCTCCCAGGGGGCGAGCCAGAGCGACGCGGTTCCAAAAATCGGCGCCGCCGCGCATTTTGGAACTGTGAGGTCGGTCTCGGGGCGAGCCTGATCGATCCGCGAGGGCCTCGGCGCCGCCTCGCACGGCGCCGGGGGGGAAGGGCCAGAAGTCACCAGGCCGAGGGAACGGTACGAGCGGGGGGCCCACCACCGAAGGAAAGGCGGCCGCCGCGGCCTCTCGATACACACCTCTTCGCCAGCCATGGCCGGAAGTCGCTAACATGAAGCCGAGCTGCAGTGATCTATCTCTCGAGCTGGCTCATTGAGGCATCGTCGAAGTCGGCGGCGGCCTCCTCGACAGACGCGCGGGCAGAAGTTACGGCGCGCCACCTCCCTCGCTGCGGTGTGCGCTCGAGATTGACGCCCAGGAGAAGATCATGGCAGGCACCTCCCCGCCCGAAGCTGTACCAGGGCCAGCGTGCAGGCGGGGTCGAGGCAGCAGCGAGGAGGGACTTCAGAAGCCGCTGGAGCTGTGCGCACGTGCGCGGGCACACGTGGTCTGTCGGATTGGCGCCCTCAGCCGAAACTCGCAGCAAGTTGACTGCGATCGGCGTTTGCACCGCGACGAACTGCACCCTGCTGGTCCTGGCGCCCATCTTCGTCGCCGGGGGCCGCAAGATGACGCCGCCCTCGGCAAACGTGATATCACCATACGTGAGATCCCGCAACGCTTTGGTCCGAAGCATCGCAGAAGTGACGAGGACAAGAGCTGCCAGCAGGGGCTGACCCGCCGCCAGCGCAGCGCCTGCAAGCCCGAATGCCATCTCAGGGCTCGCTGGGTAGGCGCGGCTGATAGGCGCCAGCTTTGCCGCGTCTTGAGCGGCGACCAGGAAAAGGGCAGGGCAGCGCGCAGCTCGGGGGCGAAGAAGAGGCAGCCCGCGAGGGCGCAGCGCCCCTGGCTGAGCGTGCCCCCCTTCGCCCACTGGTCCTCGACATAATTAGGCGGCCAGCGCACGATCAGCCTCCTCGGAGCCAGTCAGCAAGAAGCCACCCTCGATGGCGAAGACGAAGAACTCCGCGACGGCGATGCCGCACCTCTTGAGAGTGATCGCGCGCGCTCTGGGATCCGAGAGCTTCTGACAGGGTCGCAAAGTCTGGAGCCTGTGGGCTTGCGGCGACAGCCTCTGAGCTGCCAAACCCTTCGGGGCGGCCGTCGGCGGGTTGTCTTCCGACGCGATGTAGCCAAGCATGACGTAGCAGCCTGTCGCCCAGCATAAGGCTCCCCATCGCTTGACGTGCACCCGCAAGACCCTGCTGCTGCTGCGGCCCTTCGTGAGCACCGAGGCAGCGACCTGGCTGTCGATCAACTGCAGCATGCGCCTGAGCCGGCTTGCCCCGACCGCAGCCGCCGCTGCCTGGATCTCGAGGGCGTCGATGCGCTTCCCGATTCCCGCGCGCCACCGGTAGCTCGAGATCACCTCCAAAGTCCCCCATCGACACGCGAGGCCGCGCGCGGTGCCTGAGCGGCAGGTGGACGTCCAGGCGAACGTCCGTGCCTCCTCGCTCGGCGATCGACAAGTAGTGCCTCACGAGCTGCTCCGCCTCGGGCTGGCACTGGTAGTCGCCGCCCTGGTGGTGCATCGCGTTGTCGTTTCAGGGGTCCCTGCGCCTCCCCGCATGGCACAGGGCAGAGGGTTCTCACAGCCGCAGCTGGTGCCCATCAGCGACCAGGGCGTGCTGCAGCAGCCATGACACGGTGCAGACTGGGAAGCTATTTCCGAGCAGGCAACACCGCGTGGTCGCAGAGCTCGAGCCAGACCCACCTTTCGTAGCGCACTCGGTGTACCTCCGATGAAATCCCAGGATGACCTCTCTTTCCTCGGCTGTCGGGGGTCGGGACTCCATGGTGGCCTCATGCTGGAGTCGGCAGGCGCTCTCTTAAAGGCCGGCGTGAAAACGATGATCGTCCCTTTTTCCAGCGCGCCTTGGCCTCAGGATAAGCCCGAGCGATCCAAGCAGGTCGAGCGGGCTGCCGCGACGAGGGCCTAGCACAGACATGGGTCGGCACTGGCAGCGCGCCACCATTCCAGATCCAGCCAGGAGTGGCCCAGGACAGCTCTACGCGCTTCGCGCCGTCGGTGGCGACCTCGACGAAGCGCCCCCTGCCCTGGTAAGAGTAGCCTTCGCGCAGCAGCAGGCGCCGCGACAGCCGGCGCAGTCGTGGCCTCCTGCTGGGGAACAAGCAGCTGCTGCAGCACCGGTAGGGCGTGACCTGCGGCGCGTCAGAGATGCGCTCGATGTCATCCAGCGGCATAGAGGCGACATTCTCAATGAGGGAGCGCACCTTCCCAGGAAACGCCGCCCTCAGCACCCGAAGGAACCGCGGTACCTCGCCGATGGGGGCACTCCTCTTGCCCGCGAGCCCTCCTGCCGAGCATCAGCCTCGACTGGTCCAGGCAAGGACTGCCGGCGCCGCCGTGGGCCACGTCGACAACGCCTCCGAAGAGCTGCAACAGCTAATCAATCTGCTCGGCACCATACGTCCTGGATGTTACCCCAATCGACGAGGCCATGCCGCCTCTTCCTCACGACCCTGCGCGCTTGGATCCACCTCCGATGAGGCGCGGCCTATGATCTTGGTGCGAAGCCTGGAAAGCGCAACGACCATGCCCCCGATCCCGTCGAAGAGCCCGACGACCAGGACCGCAGGCTCCTCGTCGCCAGCGAGCGGCGGCAGGGCAAGGTTCCTCGACCCCCGGGCTCGCCAACGAGACGCCTCGCCTAGCAGCGGCCGGCCCGCCGCGACGCGCTGGCGGACCTCCTGGCCCAAGGCGGCGGCAGCCGTCAGCCTCGTTAGAGCCTCGGGGCAGAGCCTCAGCGACGCGCTGGCGCCTCCGCCATCCCCTGACGCGTAGGAACATGAGACCCCTGCATCCACCTCCGCGCGCAGGTCGGTGAAGGCGAGTGGGGGTGGGCCGATGCCGCCGAGGATCTCGTCGGTGATTTCAGAGCTGCCGCAGCCAGAATGGGCGCCGTCCGCAAACTTCCAGACCTCGTGACGGATGCAGAAGAGCACGCGCCTAAACTCCAGCGCCCTGATCAGCTTGCCCATGAGGGCGATGGTCTTCCAGTATACCGAGCCCTTGGTCACCGGCAGGGCCCCGGGGAGCATCGCCTCGAACGGCTTCATGGGGGGCGCCGAGACGCGGCCCCGCAGGCCGTCCACGAGCGCGCCCATCCTCTCGACCCTGGTATTGCCGAGATGGGCCTTGCGCTCAGCCCATGCCGCGCCGTTCCGCTGGCGGGATGCTCTCTGCAGCTTTTGGCAGACCGATCCGACGCCGACCACGCCCTTCGGATTGTCGACGATCCTGGGAACATCGGAGTCGTCGATGAAGAACTGCTACCAGGAGCGGCGCATGCTCACATGTGCTATGGGCAGTGGCCTGTCTCTCCCCCACTCGTCTTCCTCAGGCAGGCCCGCCCCAGCAGGGGGGAGGCGCAGGCCAAGCCGCCTATGAGAGCGTTGGAACCATGTGACCGCCAGCAGCCAGCCCATCGGAATGACAGCCAAGCAGACGCGCACGGTCCTCAGGTCAGGACGCCCCAGCAGGCGACCCGGAACGCGGCCATTCAGCGCGGCGAAGCTGCGCCACGGACGAAGGATCTCCCAGACGAAGAAGGCCCCTTGCTGGTCGTCGCCCGACCAGAGTCGCACGCGCTGGCCTTCCAACGACACAGTGGCCCAGGAGGTCGAGGCCGCGAGCGTCTGGTGGCAGGCGCCATGTTCATGATGAAGCGGCACTGCCGTTGCTCCCCAGCCTCTGGAGTGCCCTTCTTCTCGACAGGGAAAGCCCCGTTGAGCACGGGCGTGCTACTCGCCCGAAAGATGTGCTCATCCTCAATCGCCTCCACGATCCAGAGCGAGTGGAAGTGGCTCGCGATCTTGGCCCACTCGGCAGGCGAGTCTACCAGAAGCCTCGCCTTCGGCACCTCGGAGGGCCACAGGGCGCGCGGCAGGAGGGCCTGGGGTGGCTCGTCCAGCCAGGCGAGCACCTCTGGGCCGACGTGAGCATGAGGATCAGGACGCCCCGCGACGTCGGCAGCTGGCAAGCTGGGCCTCAGCTCACTACGCCGAAGTGGCAGAGAGCGCGCGCGCCGCTGTCGATGTCGTAGGCACTGGAGGCTCTCGTCGAGATCTCGCTGAGCAGGGGCATCGGTACCCTACCGAGGTCACCCGCGAGAACATGCAATACGGCCTCCTGCATTACTCCGATGGCGTTGACGCGCGCGGCCGAATAGTGCGAGCGGTGGCCCCGCGCCTCCTCCCCGCGCGAGCCCGCGTACTGGTAGCTAGCGAACATGGCCTGGTCGAAGATCCAAAGCTCGGCCGCCGCGGAGGCGGTGCAAGCGGCAGCAGCCCCAGCATCGAGCCCAACCGACCTCTCGGTTCCAAAATGCTCGGTGGCGCAGATATATGGAACCACGTCGCTGGGGCTCGTCGCGGTCGACTTTTCAACCATAAGCTTCCAGGCCCTAGCACCGGCCAAAGATGAAGCAGCAAGACGCAATACATCCCGAAACCTCTGCCCCTGCTGCTGCGGTGAATGCGCGTGCTGGAGGAAGCCTCGACAAAACTGGCCCGGCCTGCCAGGGCGCGTGAACATGGCCTCAATAAGCCACGGCACGGAGGTGAGCGGGGCCATGCCATCCTCGAGGGCCGCTGCAAGCCTGGCCTTCCAGGCCCTCGAAGCAGACGTACTTTTTAGCGTCCAGGGCCAGCTCGCTCCGACGCTGGCTCTCAACGCATTAGCCTCGGTGTCGAGCATCACCTCCGAACGGCTGCCCAAGGGGCGGCAGCCTTCTGGTTCGGAGCCTTGTCCTGCTTGTCCGAGCCTTCCAGGACGACCTTGCGAGTGTTCCCCTGGCCTGGCGGCGTCTGCTTCCTCATCGTCTGAGCCAGGCGCTGCCGGTGCCCGCCCTGGGTCTCGCTGTCCTTCTTGGGGCTCTGCAGCTGCATCTTCTTGTGCGTCTTGGAAGGCCTCGCCGCGTGCGGGGCTCGCGGGGGCTGGCGACTCGCGCCCGCCACCTCTGCAGTGCGAGCCGCCTCCTGAACACCCTGATCGCGATGTGGGCCTCCAAGCTCTCCTTCCTTGGGGTGGCCTACAGGGGCAGCTCCCTGACTTCCTGGAGCCATCCCCCGGCCGAGCCCCTGGCCCACGGGCTTTGGCTCGCCCGCGAGCTCGGCGAACTTCAACTCTCCATATTCGATATTCCCCAAGAGCTCCTCCTCCTCCTCCTCGATATAGATGGCGGCCGTATCGGCGTCGGGGCGAATGAGCTCCAGCCAGCGCGCGCTCCGCCAGCGCATGTCCTTGCAGGCGAGCTGGCAGGCCTTGAACCTCTGCATCAGCATGTCCATGCCCTCAAGAAAACTGCCCTGGAACAAAAGGTCCAGGGTCTCGGACAGCGCGTGCATCTCTTTAAACATGCCTTCACCAATTGCTGACACAGGATGGGAGGCAAGGAAGACATTCAGCAAATACTTATTGTCTCTAACTGGGGGCTCCTCATCAGCCCCATGGATGCCCTTTGAACTCAAAAATTGTTTAATTTGCGACGCCCCAAGACGGCTCCAAGTTCACTCCGGGCACTCCAAGGGATCCCCCAAGAGAACAAACATCCAAAACCCTGGGGTCAATGTTTGTTGCCTTCTCGCCTTTTCGAAGCTGATGGGCTACAAGATGGCAAAAAACGACCCCGACAACGCTCTAGGGGGCCACAAGAACGCACCAAGAGGGCCCCCAGAGCGCATTGCTCGGCCGCCGGACGGGGGGGGGGCCTGAATTTCAGCATTCGCCCATTGTGAGCGATGTGGCCTGAGATCGCCTCGAGAGAGCGCCAAGACTCCCCCCCTATGAGCCACGAGAGGACACCGAGAGGGCGACACAGAGGCCTCCAAGGCGGCGCCAAGATGAAACCCAGACAGGCTCCGCGGAGGCTCGATGGCTGACTCGTCGTGGTGGTCGTCTTCGCCACCTCGCCTGGGCATTCGTACCCGAATGGGCCCGTAAGGCTGCGCGAAGCGCCTGGATAGAAGCAGCGCCGGCGGCAATCGGGGCCCCCGGGGCCCGCCCGCCCGGGGGCACGCCCTCCGTGGCACGCGCTCCCTGGGGCCCCGAGACGGGCCTGGGACACCCACGCGAGGGCTCCTCGTGACCCCAAAAAGAGGTCCAGCTGACAGTGGGTGGTGCCATAGATTTGGGGCAATCGTGTTGCAAATGTACTGCGCCGGGAGATGGCACGCATTGTCATGCAACTGCTGCAAGCCCCCCCCACACACACATCTGTTGCACCAAATCTCTTGCACCACCCTCTTGTCGCTGGACGCCGTTTTGGGTCAACCAGATGGGCGCGCCTGCCCTGGAAGTAGGGGATATGAACTACATAACTGATTCACCCCCAACTCGATTTCCTCGCCGAACCCACGGATAATCACTACGTCGAATGCCCCGTCGATCTACGCAGCAGTCTGCGCATCTTTCATGGATCTAGACGAAACAGTCAATGCCAGGTTGAACAAACATGTTGTAGCCGATCCCCTAGATCCCCTACTCTTAGGTCGGACATGTCCTCCTTACAGGCGGAAATTGGAAGAACAAACAGCCAAGTCAAACAAAGTCAAAACCACAATAACTACAACTACAACTACAACAACTACAACTACAACTACAACAACAGCGGCATCAGCAATAGCAACAGCAACGACAACAACAGAAACTTCAACAACAAAAGCACCAACAACAGCAACAGCAACAACAACACTAACAGTAACAGCAACAACAACCAACGAAACATCGTCACCTCACTATTGTGCTACCGCTCTTGAAAATTCCTCTTGTAGAGGGACATGCCCGACTTACCTTGGCGGCGCGCAGAGGGGGGTAGGGGGAGGGGAGATGGTTTCTGAAGGAGGAGGCTGCTTCGTGGCAGGCGCGGGCCTCACATCTGCAGACCAGGCCCGCGCCTTCAAAGAAGCGGGGGTGACTCTGAGAAGCCTCCCCCCCTCCCTCCAACCCCCTCTGCTCGTGGTTGATTCTGAAGGGGCCCTGGGACACACAAATAAATACACACACAAATAGAAGGATTCCCAATATTTTCCTATATTTTCTGGGTTTCTGTCTCCCCCCCCCACTTCCCATATTTTCCCATATTTTCTGGGGAATCGAAGATTAATTGTGTCTGTGTGTGTGTGTGTTTTTTGTCCCTCCTGATCGATTCACCCTGCTCGACTGGGGCACGCCTGGGCCCTCCCGTGCTGGTGCCCTCGCGCGCGCCCGGCGGCTTCACGATGCTGCCGCGCTGCACAGGCTGGCCCGGAGCCGGCGCCGCGCCCACGGGGGCGACGCCGACGGCGGCGGCGGCGCCCGCGCCCTGCTCCGCCATGCGCTGCATGGCCGCCTGGACGTCCTCCTGATCGGGCGGCGTTCTCCTCCCGGACATCCTCCTCCTGGACGTCCTCCCGGCCCTCCTGGCGACTCCTGCGCCTCCTCCTCCTCCTCCTCCTCCTCCTCCTCCTCCGCCTCCTCCTCCTCCTCAACCCTACTCCTCCTTCCTCATCCTCCTCCTTCGCCTCCGCCTCCGCATCCTCACCTCCCCCTCCACCTCCCCCCCCCCCCTCCCCCTCCCCCTCCACTCCTCCTCCTCCTCCTACTCCTGCCTCCTTCCTCCTCATCCTCCTCCTCCTCCTTCTCCCTTACTCTCCTCTCCTCTCCTCCATCGTCCTCCTCCTTCCTCATCCTTCCCCCTCCCCCTCCCCCTCCCCTCCCCTCCCTCCTCCCTCCTCATCCCTCCTCCTCCTCCTACTCCTTCCTCCTCCCCCTCTCCTCCTCATCCTCTTCCTCCTCCTCCCCCTCCTCCTCCTCCTCCTCCTCCTCCTCCTCCTCCTCCTCCTCCTCCTCCTCCTCCTCCTCTCGTCGCGATTCTCGTCACATCGCGAGGGGGGGTGGGGAGGCCGTGCGTAGACATGTCCCCGCCTCGCCCTGGGGGGCAGCGGAGCAAGCACACCCAGTCGAGCGGTCGAGGGCCGGCCGCCCGCCTGGGCGTCCTCAACGAGGAATCAGAGACCTCTGAGACACGGCGGCCTCTGGAGGACCCTCAGGCGGCGGCCTCTGAGACACGGCGGCCTCTGAGACACGGTGGCCTGAGATCGGGTGGGGAGAAATCGAGACCTCTGAGATACGGCGGCCCTGGAGGACGCCTCAGGCGCCGCGGCCCTCTCACAGCGCTCTGGGACGCTCCGGGAGCGTTCTGGGACGCTCTGGGAGCGGGTTCGCCCTCGCCCGAGCCCCGTCCGGCCATCCCGATCTGCGTCTGGCCTGAGTCATGGTACCCGTGCCGCTGCTTGTCCTGGACAACTCTCGCCGCCGCGGCGAGAGACTCCTCGAAAAATGTTGGCCCGGCCGCCGAGCGCCTTCCTCCTCCTCCTCCCCCTCCTCCTCCTCCTCATCCTACTCCCTCCTCCTCCTCCTCCTCCTCCTCCTCCTCCTCCTCCTCCTCCCTCCTCCTCCTTCTCCTCCTCCTCCTCCTCCTCCTCCTCCTCCTCCGCCGAGAGGTGTAGTGACCACGCCGCGTGATGAGTCGGTGGGGGCCCGGGGCAACCGCACACGGCTCCGTGGCTCGGGCCGCTCTCCGAGGACGGCTCGGGCGACTGGGGCCTCCGCCGAGGCCCCTAAGAGAGCGCGGCGACGGGAGGAGGAGGAGGAGGAGGAGGAGGAGGAGGAGGAGGAGGAGGAGGAGGAGGAGGAGGAGGAGGGGAGGAGGAGGAGGAGGAGGCAGGAGGAGGAGGAGGAGGAGGAGGAGGAGGAGGAGGAGGAGGGAGGAGGAGGAGGAGGAGGAGGAGGAGCGGAGGAGGAGGAGGAGGAGGAGGAGGAGGAGGAGGGGGAGGAGGAGGAGGGGGAGGAGGAGGAGGCGGAGGAGGAGGAGGAGGAGCGCGGGGGATGGGCGGGCCACCCCGCCGACCCTGGGCGGCCCGACCCGGGCCCCAGGGCCCGTGTGCCCGCCTCCCTGGCTCCTGGCTAAGCCGGGAGGGCGGAGGGAGCATGCACCGACACTCGGCGGCGGACGGACCTCCCTGTGGTCCACCTTCCCTTAATGCGGGATGACGATTAAGAAAACAAATGGGAGGGAACGATTCAAAACATAGTTATTTTCTGCGATTTCTGCACAAGTTTCTGACTGGCGGAGTACGATTAAAACACATAGTTTTCCAGCCCGCGGCCGGTTTTTTCTAATCGTCATCCCGGGCGCCGCCGCGTGAACACGACCCCCGGTCATTTATTAATCGCCATCCTCCATTACAGTCGGACTTCATTGGAGAGGGCGCGCGAGAGGACACAAGACCCTTCCGAGGGCCACGTTGCCACAGAACTGCAGGAGGCATGGGTCGCAAGACGCAGGACACGAGGGTACCCTTGATCTGGCAGGGTCGGCCTACTAATCCGGGCCGCCTGTAGTGAAAACGGCCTGGGACCGAAACCGACGGACCTGGACCCGCAAAAATGGCGGCCACGACGCCCTCTCGCGGACCGAAAACGGCCAATCCGCTCATCGACGCGTCAGGGTAGGAGGTCTGTCCACCCCCGAGACACTGGGTCCAGGATGGGTCTGGCCATCGTCGGCGAGATGCCCCCCGAGATCTGGCGTCGCGTCACGATTGGAGCATCGTGCGACGAAGCCAGAGAGAGGATAAAGTCGGGGGGGATAAATCGGGAGTCTCTGAGATCCAGCGGGTCGGGAGGATGTCTCGGGCACCGCGGCCTCCTCAGAGCGTTCTGGAAAACTCCGAGAGCGTTCCGAAACGCTCTTGAAAGGGTTTCTCCTCGCCCTAGCCCCGCCCGACAAGCCCCATCTTCCTGCGGCATGTTGCATCTCTCGCATCTCGAGCCGGATCGATCCTCGAGGCCCCGGGGCCCGAAACGGGGCTGACCCGCCTACAGTCATCGGCCTGACCTAAGGCACGACAAATAAGGAACGAAGCCCCATTTTATCCCAAGGAACAACGCATAAGGAACGATAAATAACAAATAACGCATAAGGAACTGTAAATAACGCATGCAAGCCTAAGGAACCACCGAGCACCTTTTGAAAAGTAAGCGTTCCTTATTCAAGCCGCTCACTGCAGCGCGAGACAGGAACAGACGCCAGGATCTCAGGGTCAGGTTGCGCCGCCCGGCCTGAGCGTTGGCCATCCGCCCCATCTTCTCGTCCAGGCTCGCCAGCAAGCTGCAGACCTTGCCAGGATCGGTCGGCCCCCCTCTCAGGAGCGTGCGGGTCGGATCGGACCGTGCGTCCGAGTGGGCTTCGCCAGCGCGGAGCCGCGATCGGGTCGGGTCGGCTGCGCCAGGGTGCACAGCAGCGCCGTGCAATCATCGGGAGGCATCGGGCTGATCAGAACGCTGAGAGCCGAGCTCCGTCTGGCGAGCGGGCGGGCCAAAACCCGAATCCAAGCTTTCACAGCCACTGCACCTACGCAACAGTTCAGAATGAAGGCAGGAGGAGGGAGAATGGGCGGCACCGGACCGCCGGAACATCGGAGCCCTTGGCATCTGCCGATAGATGATTCCTTAAATAAGCGGCCCCAAAGGTCCCGAACCCTTCCCTGGGGCCAATGTCTCACCCAAGAACAATGTTTGATAGTTCCTGGGCCCGAAAATTGGGAACGGAAGCCAAACGGTGAAAAACGCACGGCTTAGAGCAATCACATCGGCGGACACTTGGGGATCGTCGGAACATCGGAATCGGACCGCGCTTGGGCCGGCTAGAGTCGACGGGGAACCGCGCGAACACACACACACACACACATTCACACACATTCACAAACACGTTTTGGCGGTCGCTGCCTCGCGCGCAGCGACGAGGCGGAGTAAGGTTGAAGCGACGGAGCGCGCGCGGCCCGGCCCTCAGGCGAGATCACTTACACACATGTATTATACATTCACCACCGTGCCTCTGGGCAAGGATTAGGCGTGTCCTCAGGTCCTTTGCCTACTCCCTGAACCTCAGTCTTTAGTCCTGAGGGGACCGAGCCCAAAATTCTAAAATCTACCGAGGCTTCCCGCGTGCCCCATGGGCTCTGGGAAGTTCCCGCATGAATTTCTCAGCCACAAGAGGGCCCCAAGACGGGCCAAGAGGGCCCCAAAAGGCATTCAAGACGGTCCAAGAGGGCCCCGAGTCGCCGAACGATCTCTCCGAGACGCTCAAGATGGCCCTCAGACAGCCCAAGAGGCCTCCAAGACGGTCCAAGGGGCCTCCAAGAGGCCTCCCAAGAGACATCCCAAGAGGGCCCCAACATGTCCAAATCATTGATTTTCTTGAGGTGTTTGAAAGTTTCTGGCTTTTCTCGCCTTGTCGGTTTGCTGACGCTTCTAGCCGGCCCTAGAGGCCCACAAAACAGCCCCAAGACGGCCAAAGGCCTGCAAGAGGGCCCCAAAGGGCCTACGAGGGCCTCAAGACGGCCCAAGAGGCGACCAAGACGGCCCAAGAGGGCCCCAAGACGGCCCTCAAAGGGGTCCAAGAGAGGGAACTCGAACCGAACATCCCAGCCCTCCGCCCCAGAAAGCCTCCAGGAGGCCCGAAGAGGCGCCCAAGAGGCCCCAAGAGGCCCCCAAGAGGCGCCCCAGAGGCCCAAAGAGGCCCCCAGGAGGCCCAAAGGAGGCCCCAACACGGCCTCAAGAGGCCTCCAAACAGCCTTCAAGCGGCCTCCCACGAGATCCCAACGAACATGCAATAGGCTTCATGCCCACAACCTAGGCACGATGGCGGGATGGGCCGAAGGCCGTGCTTATACATATATATATATACATACATACATACACGTGTATGTATGTCTGTCTGTCTGTCTGTCTGTCTGTCTGTCTGTCTGTCTGTCTGTCTGTCTGTCTGTCTGTATGTATGTATGTATGTATGTGTGTGTGTGTATGTATGTATGTATGTATGTATGTAGGTATGTATGAGCGGAAGGGCGGACTTTCAAGCCAAAAAAAGTGTGGCTCTTCAGCTCAGAAGACGAAGAGGAGCTGCGCAAAAAGGCAAAGCTGGCGCACGACCGGGAGTTAGACAGCCAAAAAGACAAGAAGGAGAAGAAGGGGGAGGAGCAGGAGAAGGAGGACAATAATAGAGACGAGAAGGGAGACACGAATGAGGATAAGAAAGAGGACAGACAGGAGGACAATAAGGAGGAGAAGAAGTACAACCAACTCTCCTGGAAGGAGAGGATGGAGGCCAGAAAGACTGCAGCGCAGAGTTCCACTTGGCGCCCTGCGTGCTGGTTCTACAGCAACGCCTTGTGCACCGAAGGGAAAGACTGCCCCCTTTTTTCCACCAGCCCCAATACAAGCCCCACGAGCTCTGCCGCAAGTTCGTACAGGGCCTCTGCCAGCGAGGCGACAACTGCTGGCACGCGCACCTGGAGGGAAAGGGTGGAGAAGAGCAGGAAGGTGACGAAGCAAAATGGCAAGACGAACGAGGAGACGGAGGAGGTGATGAAGGAGGAGAGCAAGGAGGCGGACAAGGACGGGCCCGAGGTGCAGAAAACGGAGTACCAGCTGCAGGAGACGCGCACGGAAAAGGCCTTCGACGAGAAGATCCGCCAGCAGAGTCGCGAGGGCAATTGGGAGCAGTGCACGACAAGACTGGCAAAGCAGTCGTGCGCTCCAAGGCCATAGGGGAGATGCGCTTCACCCCGCCCACGCCGAACGAAACCGAGAAGGAAGACAAGAAAAACGCCGACTTTGAGACAAAACGGGTCTGCCGAAGAAGAACCAAGAAACCGTTGAAGGCGGCCGAGTTGGCCGCCAAGTACAGCGTCACGCCGGCGGCGCTAGACCAGGACTGCCGGCGGGAGCCAAAAAAACCTGGATGAGGAAAAGGAGAAGGGAACACTACACGTGGTAAATTTCTAATCGTTTTACTTTCTGATTGTGCTCGTTTCTATTTGTCCCTGGCCCCCTAGTGGCCAGGAAAAGGCCCAGGACAGAACAATTAGAAATGAAAGGACCTTGGCCCCCCAAAAAATCCAAGAACTTTCGAATAATAGGAAATCTAACAACGTGTACCCTGACCACGAGCTCGACGGCGTGTTTGCCAGGAGGCCGCACTTGAAAAAATTGCTCGTCGGCTCGCCTGCCGTAGGCGTGGCACTGAAAATCCAGGACGGCTTTGAGCGCGACAACAACCGGGACGGCTGCGGGCAGATCATCGAAGAGTGCGCCGCCCTTGCAGGCGACGGCGCCCTGACCGAAGCCATGATGAGACAGGCGTGCGGTTTGAAAGCGCGCCCCCAAGGCGAGGGCGACAAGTTGCTCAGCTTGCGCTCCGTGATGGGCAAAGGCGAAGAGGCGCCAGCAAAGGCGAAGGGGTTGGAGAAGGCCGTCGAAGCGCTACTGCGCGCAATCGTCGAAGAGCGCATCCATCCTGCGGAAGCTGGACAGCTTGGACTTCACCGCCTTCCAGACGCTCAAGCGACCAGCGGTGCCGGGGCTCGAAGGTCGTCGCAAGGAGGAGGTGCGGAACCTCTTGCGCAAGTCCCGCGCTGTGTTCGCGGCAAAGGTGCGGCCTTCAGGCGACGGCGTGATGCCGCGTCTTGCGATCTCAGAGCCGTTTGCAGATGTCTGCGACAGGGCCCCATCGGGATTGGAGATGTCGTTCCCCGAGCACCACGACATGACCACGTTTGGCGAGTACGACGACGGAGCAAAGCACAGGAAGCACAACGTCGGCATTTGCGCGAGCACCTCCATCTCTCGCCCCCGCGGCACCGCGGAGCCATGAGCAATGGCGCCAACAAACAAGAAAGAAGAGGCGCTTAAGAGAACGCGGGCTCTCGATGCGCATGAACAGACGCCCGGCGCCCTTCTCAACGCTTTCCAGGGCCTCGAGGAGGGCAGCATCGCGCGGCGCAGCGTGGCGTTCCGCGGCATCCTCGCTGATTTCCGGAGCCGCCGCGCGGCGACCGAAGTGGCGGCTCAGTCGTGCTCCAGGAGGGCACTGTAGCAATTTGTGCCCGACGCCCCAGACTTCGACATATCCAACTGCATGTAGGCGTTGACCAAGCAGTTGCTTGAGAAGTTCGGCCAGAACAGCTCGCCCCCCGCCCGCTTGAGAGAGTTGCTCGCGAAGTGCGCCGATCAGCGAGACGCGGCGTGCACGGTCGATCTGGGGGTCAGCAGGGAGCAGGGCAAGCGGCTGCTCTCGGAGCCGACCAGTGGATCCGCCGCGCCGGAGGAACGCGAGGAGGACCCCGCTGTGCAGGTGGCGCAGGACTCGTCGAGGTACCTGCGTTGGTTGGCGTGCTCGTTGCTACCCGACGTGCGCGGCCAGATGAAAACTGACCCGTCGAGCTCGTATCCCGACGCGGCCACCTCGTGATGCATGTGGTCGGCCGTTGAAGACTTGGTACTCTCACGTTGGCTTATTTTTGCCGCACGAGACTCTCGGTCGCACGCTTCCTTGCACTGCGACGGCACTCGGGCTCGGAATCCAGCGGGCGACATCGACACGGAGGAGTTCCGCGCGCAGCGTTGCGCGCACATTGCAGCGCAAACAGAGCTCGAGGTGAACATCCGGCAGAGGATCCACAAGACGGTCTTCGCGCTTGTGCAGGAGAGCGGCGGTCGTCTTGTGGACTGCAGTTCTGATGGCGGCATCAACGAGGATCTGCTGGCGGGCGGCAACTGCATTCCCCTGGCGCGCGCGCGCCTGACCCACGACCCGCGGGCCCCAACATCGGGGGCGGCGCGCTGCGGCGCCGGAGGTCCTCGCGAAGTCCCCTGTCGCGAGTACGCGGCCGCGTTAATTTGCTGGAGGGTTCCTTTGCCCCTTGCTCGGGGGCGCGCATGGCGGGGCCTGGTAAGCGCGTCACCCGCGCGGAAGACACTGGTGTTCCTTGGCGCGCTTCGTCTTTGAATGGAGATTGCGCCTTGCCCTGAGGGATGAGCTTCGTCTTCGTCCAGATACTCAGTCTCGCCGGCGTCCTCGAGGGAGTGCGCCGCCTCTGCCGCGACGAGAAAACTCCCGTTACTTCCGGGTTCAACGGGGGCCCCATCTGCGCCAGACGATGCGGCCCAGTGCTCATATTAGAAAGCCTTCGACACGTTGCTGGGGCTCTGGGCTGGAGCTGGCGGCAAACCAGTCTCGACTGACAGCGCCCCGCTTGGCGGTGTCCTTGCCGCCGCGAAGAAGGAGGTGTCCGTGCACTTGGACGGCCTGAGTGGGCGCGGCAGAAGAGGGCCTG